AAAGATTAGAAAGGAGGACTGAGAGGTAATCTGCACTGTGAGCTTTTGAGAGCTCAGAACGCACTACTGTGTGGTAAGTGCTGAGCCATGCGCTGGTTCGCAAGTCCACTTCATCTACAATGTCATGAGACATGCCTCAAGTTGTCACTCTTCCCATTTTGTCACCACCCACCCTAGTGTCTAAGCCCCCACGGTCTCTCATCCAGACCACTGCAAAAGGCCCTGACTAGTCTCCTGTTCTGCTTCCAGCCCCCTTAGAATCCACTTTCCACAAGGCTGTGGAGATCATCCACAAGTGGAAGTCAAGTTTGTCTTTTGTTTCAAACCTCCTGACAGCTTTGCATGCTACTAAGGATAAAATCCTAACTCTATGCGGCCAAGTCCTTGCATGACATAGCCCCAGTTTTGTGTCTAATTATCCCATCTATCACTAAAGTCAGCCTGGCCTAGAGCAAGCCACACTTGCTCCAGCCTTCGTGCTGGCTGTTCCTCTGCCCGATCTCTCTTCTCTTAGTCTCTCCCACGCTCCTTCCGTCTCATCCTTCAGGTCCCAGATTAAAGGGGGCGTCTTCAAAGTCCCAAGGAAGAACCACTTCTGTTACTTCCATTCCTGCATCTTGCTTATATCCTTCCCGACTTTATCCTTAGCAGATGCTGTCTCAGATGCCTGTTTACTCATTACTTCAGGAAATCAATGAGCCCAACTGTCTTCTCCATGATGTCTGTGGAGCCTATAACATTGTCTGGCAAGTAGCAGTACTTCAATATTTCATGAAATTATGAGCTAATACTTTAAAATTACAACTAAAAGTTAGAGAAAATAAAGCAACAATACCTGTAAAAGGAGAAAGCACAATATTTATTTTTATGTGTATGAGTGTATTACCTACATGTATGTACGTGTACCTGTGTCATGCAATGCCTGTGAGGTCAAAAGAAGGCATTGGATCCCCTTGAACTGGAGTTACAGTTGTTAGACACAATGTGGGTGCTGGGAATCGAACCCAGGTCCTCTGCAAGAGCAGTCAGTGCTCTTAACTGCTGAGCATCTCTCCAGTCCCGAGCTCAATACTTTAAACACAGCTAGATCATTAATAACAGCCCAAACCCGTTTACTTAATATGAACTGAGGCTGTAATACCCAATTTGCTTAATCTTAAACCGTTCTTACTAACCTCATATTAGAGGTTCAAAGCACCCAGGGCTACACTAGATAATAGACTGAGGGTGTCCAACAACCCCTAGAAGGGATGTGTGGGATGCCACCCACCCTCTTTTCATGTCTGAAGACATCTACATTTCTCCTCATCCTGGATTGCTACTTGTTGTAAGCATAGAGTTCCAGGTTGGAGGCCACCACTCATCAGCTTCTAAAGGTCTGTGTCGCTGCCTTCTGGTGAGGTGTTGCTGTGGGGAGTATGCTGCCCCAGGACTGATCTTTAGCTGCAGCCATGTTGGGGGTCTACTCTCTGCCCCTGGTGTTGTGAAATTTCACAGGACTGCACCTTGGTATGGCATGGCTTTTTTTCCTATCCCTGCCTGGGTACCAGTAAACCCTTTCAATCTGTAAACTCTAATTCTCTGAAATTTCTTATATTATTTCTTTAATTTTAATTCATCCTTTCCTCTGTTTTGAAAACTCTATTAGACATTAGGCTTCCTCGTTGGGTCTCTACCGGTTCTCTTTTCAATTCTACCTCTTTGAATTTTTGTTTTAGCTTCTAGATTTCTTCAACTTTATAGTCACATAAGACTTATGTTCTTATTGTTCTTACTTTGAATTTCTAAGAGCTCTTACCCTGAATGTTGATTATATTCAAATCTGTTCTAGAGGCATAGATGCAATCTCTTCCTCTCTCTGAGGATATGGTTATGGTTTTTGTCTGTTTTTTTTCTATGTTTTCTTCTGAGAATGTGGCTCAGCAGTAGACTGCTTATGTAGCAGACAGGATGCTCTATGTTCAGTCCCTGCCATGGGAGGTGGGAGAGGGTCCTGGGATGATTAGAAGCCTTCCTAAAGGGTAGAGCTTAGGAGCTGACTTCTTGTTGGTTCAGTACATGGCAATTAGGAGGGATCTTTCCTCTTAGCCAGTTCTTCCAAAAAGGGACCATCAAACTCTAACTAGCATGTGATGTGATAAGGTTAACTCTTAAGTCTGGGACTTCTCTAGTAAAGTTGCTCAGAAAGCAAGTTTTGTTTCTGTCAAGGCGGAGGAAGAGCAGCCACTTGGATGTGCATGTCAGGGAAGTGGGGAGTCTGCTCCTTCTACAGATGTTGAACAAGAAGTCCTATTTTTGTCCCCACCCACTTACCTTCCAAAGTACCTCCTGGCCTAATTCCCAAGCCTTCCTGGAGCTCTAGAACCCAGGTCTCCAAGGCAGTGTGTCCTCTACAGAGGGGAAGCCTCCAACTTTTTCTATTCCACCAAAGGAATCCTTATATCCAGTCTTCTGCTCTATCCTGCTAATGCTCGCATTCTCTCTGCCTTTGTGGGCTTATCCCTTTTAATTCTTTTACTGCTGCTTTACTAAAGTTTAAGGAGGAAGCGAAGAAAAAAACACATCGACCTGCCACTTTTAATCAGTATTATAAGTAACTTCTCAGGAGCTTGAGTCCAAGGTTGGCTTGGGCTACAAAGCAAGAACTTGTCTCAAAACAAGAATAAAGAACCCTCTCCTGACTGCTCACCAGTAACATGAAGCTAGTGGTCAAGAGGGTATTTTGGTTCACAAAACAAGGAAACACAAAGAAACAACCAGATGAGTTTTTTTCTGAGGCAAATGGGAAGAGTTAGAAGAATAAAAAGTATTGGGTTGGTGAGATGGCTCAGTGGGGACAGGTGTCTGCTGCCAAGACTGTCACCCTGAGTTCTGTCACCGAACCCACATGGTGGAAGGAGAGAGATGACTCTTAAAAGATGTCTTCTGGCCAGGCATGGTTGTGCATACAACCATGAACTTTGTGAGTTCAAGTCCAGCCTGGTCTACATAGTGAGTTCCAGGCCAGCTGGGGCTACAGGGAGACCCTCTTTCAAAAAGACCAAAAAAAAAAAAAAAAAAGCCTTCTGAACTCTACATGCATGCTATGTTGTAGGTGCCCCCCACCCCTATCCTGACAAACAGGCCGACACACACACAGACACACATAAAATGGAATAATTGCTTTAATGTATTAAAGGAGCTGGGCAAGGCTGGGTGTGGTGTCGCATACCTTTAATGCCAGCACTTGGGAGGCAGAGGCAGGTGGATCTCTGTGAGT